TATACTCGAGATTTCATTTCAATCATTTCGGGCTGTTCACATCAAGGTGGATATAAGAATTTTCTCTACTAAAATTCAAAGATAATTTAAAACAACTAAAATTAAATTTTTTGAAAAGTTTAGTGTTTATCATCAAACTGTCACTTAGTTAATGAAAAATTTTTACGTTCAAAATGATAGTTAATAAATTCTAATTTAACTGTAAATATCAACTATTTGGCACGAATTTTAATCACAATAGTTATTATTCAGATGTTAAAGTGCTGTGATAGTTGGGAAGATTTCATGGTTTATGCAGTGAAAGAGCACATCGAATTCATTCAGGAACATTAAGGACGCGAAACATAAACACATCTAGAAAATAATAGATAGAATGATACGAACTTGAAAAAGAGGTGCAAATGAACTGACTTAATGGGAAGTTATCTGTTCATCGATGAGAGAAAAGTCTTCAATGAAAAGAAAGTAGCTATTGAACTTAGTTTTTAGTAATTACAATATCAAACTACTTTTAATTTTGCAAGTAGTGTAAACATATATGTGATTTTTATTTTAATACATTTGAGAATTACTTGAGGTTCCTCATTCTGATGGCTACAATAAATTTTAGGTGTGTTGATTGAAGAATGACTATGATCATTTCAACCAAATTCTGCTAAGGATGAAAGTTTTTAAAGATTCTGAAATGACAAATAAGGCAAGGGATGTAAAAATAAGTCAATTTAGGGTTTTATTTATTTCAGTGGCATAAATTGTTGGGGATGTTAGATCCTCAGAACTTGGTTGATAATATTTTTATTTTGGATTTATTTCATGGACCGATCAGTTGACCTTGGGATCACGTTTTCCACCAGAGAAATCCTTGGCTGTGATTGGTTACTGTGTCATTTTAGTGTGCTATTTTTGTGACTGTCCCAAGGACGTCTCTATAGAGTATAAATAAACGCAATTTGAGTGCTTGGATTCATTGTGTGTGCTGGCTGGGTGTTTGTAGAATACAATTTATACACTATATCAAGACTTCTCGCTGATGCAGTTTGGTCAAGCGATCACGGTAGCCTACTTGGACTCTGGTTCATTGTTTTGTTCTCATTAATCGACTAAGGTGAACTCTTAATAATTAAAGCATACCTAGAGACAAGCGTAACATAAACTGAGTATTTCGATAAAAGTGGAGTTGAAGAATGATACCAATAAAAGGAGGAATGAACAGGTATATTACACCACGTATATTACACTTTCCAACAAACCTACTGTAGTGAAGGAGAACACAGGTGAGGTCAACCGAATTGTATTTATCGAAAATTACAGAGTTACTCAGTAAAAAGTAGAAAAACCATATCGTAAACGGTTAATGTACAAATCTTCAATCCATCATCAATCCATTGTCTGACATTTCACTCACTATTCATGCGTTTCATACAAATTCCATTGTGTTCCCACTCTTCTTCCTTTCTTGATCTTCCCCCATCTTCTGCTGCTGCCAGACATTACGTTTACACCCACGTCATATACTACTTATAAGTAGCTTGCACCACACTACGACCTTCGATTGTAACAATCTTTATTTATCCTTGTTTATATTGATGCAATTGTTCAGTTTCCATTTTCAGTGGAAATAAAGTGAAATTTGAATGAATCAGGATGAAGTGCTAACTGAAAATTTTACTTTTGTTTGTAGTATTTATCTGCTAACTGAACCAAGACATACTTGAAAATACTTGATTCCACAGACACATATATTGAACATTGAGAACAAAATGGTTATTCACCTTTTCCTCTTCATAATTGAAAGATAATTTAAAACAATGGAAAAGCACATTGTTTTGAATAAAAACAGTTTACGAGTAACGGTTTTTGAAAAATTTGATGATTATTATCAAACTCAATTATTGAATAGTTTTTAGGTTTACATTGATAGTTAATCAATCCTAGTCTAACTGTATATATCTATGCTAATAAGTTGATTCAGTTGTTTGGCACGAATTCTCAACACAGTAGTCATTATTCAAAAGATATAATAAAATTGTGACAGTCTGAATGCAAATGCTGAAGGAACGCACATGTTAACGTAGACACATGGAATTCATTTGGGAGCATCAAGACTCAGGAAACACAAACATATCTGGAAAATAGTAGATAATGTCATGATGTTATGATACCAATTTGAAAGGGTATTCAAATAAACTGCGAGGAAGAAGACATGTGTGCACTGATTGGTCTTGATTCAATGTGGAATTTTATGTTAACTAATGAAAGCGAAGTCTTTCAATAGAAGAAAGCAGCTTTGAAGTTATTTTTGGGTATTAAATTTAGACTACTTTTAAATATACAAGTAGTATAAAATATTTTTGTGATTTTTATTTTAAAACATTCGGGAACTGCTTGTTACGCGCTATCTGATGGCTAGGAAAAGTCACTTTAAGGTTTCATTTATCGTAGTAGCATAAGGTGAGTGTTTCACTGATTGTGGCCTTGAAAAATGATACAAAGAAACTCTGTGTACATGATAGTGATTTCTGTTGAATTCTAAGGAGTAAAGTATAATATACTGACGGCTGTGAGTGAACCAATCAGAATCAGGCTGATTCCTCGTATCACTTTGCGCGAAATTTTAAGAGCAGCGATACGCAACCTGTGTGTTATGGTTAAAATGCTTGAAATCAATAAAATTTTCTATTACGAAACTGACAGTGCCTAAGCTACATTACCAAAACATAACTGTTCTCAAGGCATTACGTTTGTTACGGTACTTGTTGTGATTCAATGTGTTGTCAAAAGTGTTTAGTGAAGTATGATCATATTCTATCCGTAAAACTCTTACTCTATATCTGAACTATAAGCTTCATATGTTTGTAAACAGTAGGATGACGAAGCATTGCATTAAATCTGATATCATTTCATGAACAAAACATTGATTGGAATTTAAAACTCCAAACTCACAACCTCAGCTTAGTTTTCAATATGTAACTCTAACCCCTTTAGTATTTTCCTAGTCGGTTTTAGTTGGTGACGAAAACTAGGCTATATGTGAATTGGTAAGCCTAACTGACAACACTAGCCTAGTATGACAACCTAACTTCTCACTTTCACTACCAGGAATAAATGGATATGTTAGAACTGATTATTCATCAGATTAAATCTATTATTATTCCATTGATGTTTTAATAGCTTTTAGCTGTTGATTGTTTTAATAACTAGACAGTTTCTTCTGATTGGCTGATAGGCATCTCAAGGTCGTCATCGGTTTAATATGATGATGTAACAATTGGAGAATTATTAGTAAACAATGTTTTTGTGCTAATCTATTCAGTATATAGTTAGTTGTCAGTGAAATCCCGGACATGTTTTTATGTTATTGAATATTTTCATCAGTCCCATGTTCGTCGAATCCCACTGTTACTACACCTACTGATGAAGTTGGAACTTAAGTATCGATTACTTTGACCACCTAAGGCATCATGTAACATGCTACTAAGTCAAAATGGCCCAATAATTTGAACAAGTAGTATGAATTTTATTTGAGACTGTTTGTATTTAGCTGTCCGAGAGAATGTCATCATATTCAGTGTATTTCGTATGATATCGATACTGAAGCAAACACCTATATTTCAAGAAATGCATATCCTCGAAATTGGCCAACTGTTAACCTAAGAGTTACAAGTTAAATGTGTATTGGAATCGGCATCAGCAACCACTGTGATGATCATTACGAAATGTTCAGTTTATGTTTAAGCGATCGAAGTCTGAACTTCCGTTTCGTTCTATCTGGCACTTGTCATTAAGGTGTAAATGTTATCTTGAGTTATCTGACGATCTCTGCTCAAAACGACTCCGTGTCAGAGTTCACCAATTTAGATGACGCATGAGATTTATCTATAAATGACTGATTACTGAGTAATGACCAACTGTGCACTTCTAGAGTCCTATATACATGGTACTGGTGGAATTTTATTTTCCAAATACTAGAAACCTTTTGTGACAAGTTGCCAGTAACATAAAACTTAGATTCAGGGTATTATATCGACCATCTCAAACCATCTAACGTTTTTAATGTTTTTGTAATGATGTTCCTAGTCCTTGACGATATGTTGGCGGTTGTGCAAGTTGGGTAAATCAATCAATCTGTACTAAACGTGGTGGTTAACTGTCATTTCTCAAATATTTATTCGAAATCTTCAACATGTTCTGTTGAGTGAGAAATAACTGAGTGCAGCGTTGTTGGGGATGTTAGATCCCCAAAACTCGCTTGACAAATGCCTTATTTTGGATTTCACGCTCGCCAGCATGGGCTGATCAATTGACCTTGAGATTTCATTTCCCACCAGGAAAATCCATGGCTGTGGTTGGCTGCTGTGTATTTTAGTGTGTTATTTTTTTGACTGTCCCGAGGACGTTTCTATGATGCATAAATGAACAAAAGTTGTATGCTTGACTGTATTGTACTTGCTGGGTGTTTGTACAATATACTTTCTACGCTTACCAAGACTTCTGTTTTACAGCTTGGGATTCATGGTAGCCTATCTGGACGCTGGTAATTGTCTTGTTCACGTTTATCGACTAAGGTGAACTCGTAATAGCCTCAAGCATACCTATTGACGAACCCTACAAGCGTTGAGGCTACTTTTTCGAAATATGATCGGACCACAGCAGTAAACATCGTTATGTAAGGTAGTGGTGCAGTGGTAGTATAAGTTTCATGAAAACCACTTATTCTAACGATCGATAATCATGAATGAGGCACTGATTGATCTATTCGATTTTCTGTTGTACCTGATAAGTGAGTACAATTCATGACTATTCAAGCGAGTTCGTATAATTTGACGAGTTGTGTGTTAGTATCATTTCGATGCAGTAAATTACTTCGGCGTTATACAACATTAGTTTGTACTATTTGAAATGACAATTGGTCATTTTGAAAAGATGAAGAAAACCGAAATATCCTGAATAAAAATTATTTATTTGAATTAAGATGTTTAATGTTAGTTAAACAAATTCATTTATCTACAATAAAAAAGGCAACGAAAGGAAATTATTCATTCGTGTTATTGATGTCGCTGTTGTGACAGTGTCTCAGTGATCTAGATGTTCACCTATCATCTCTTATAATACAAGTTCGAGAGCCTCTACACCTATTTCACAATCGGTAACCGGATGTCAGCAATAAAGCAGTTTAACTCGAGCTTCAACACGGAAGCCAAGTACACTAATTTGTACTTGGCAAGTTAGTACTTGAATTTGTTGATGAGATTTGCTTCGCTTTGGTTGCACATTGATCTGGCAGTCTCAACTATGATGTAGAGAGATAGAGTGAGATAAACTTGAAGATGAGAATAATGCTGGTATATGTGTAAACCTATATGTCAAGTTAAATGATATGACAGGGGGGCATTCCTAATGTTGTACAACAAAGTGTAAAGTATTCAGTATGAGTACTCCATAGAAATGTTTGTCTGATGAATTTTAAATAAACAACATACTGAGAATTAGTTTGATTTCTCCTCAGAAAATTACCTACAATGAAATGAAGTCACATCAAAAATATGATACAGAAATCATTACCAACTAGTCGACTGAATTGATGAGCAAATTCAAATACTTTTAAACAATGTTCAACTGGATTTTCATAACTTACGTCGTTGTTCTGCAAACCATTGCATAAATTCTTCTACTGTACAATTGATGATAACCGAATAAAAACGGTGGTATTCAATTTATGCATTAAAGTTCATAGGTACACATGTTAAGATATCACTCATCTATTGAAGAAACTAGTGTATCTGTGTGAGTTTTTAATGCTGACTGCTTTACGAATTAGATAGTTTTTTAATGAAAACAACCAATTTGGTCAGTAATATTACTTTGATACAATGTAACTGTCCACTAAGGCTAATGTCATATTGTCTTTCGATAACTTACATCTTAGGTGAGTACTTTAATACAGAGTTTATTGCATATCAAATAACTGTCAAAATAGGCAAGAAAAGAATTACTTTCATTGGCATCTAATGTCTCCCCATATGACTCATCTGAAAAAGTTAAGAACAACTCAATGTAATTGAGTTGAATGTTGAAAGGAGGAATTCTGTCAAAAATGTAGTTCTGCTTTAAATGGAACATGAATACACCGAAGTGCAACGATTTATATGGAACTCACCGCCACTATTAGCGTTGACCCGATTCTGTAGACCTTGTATCAGGCAGAACATTACAAAAATACAAATATTTTGTTAAAACACTTTAGATCGATACCAAACATGTTTTATGTTAAAATGGCAAATGTTGACTGGGTTTATTCAAAGACGAGGATTTACATGATGAAAAGCAAAGTACATTATCGCGATTCCATAGTAATCACTATTCATCAGATTTTCATTGTAAAATAGTCCAACCTAGTTCAGTAAGTTCATTTTTATGCAATGCATTGGCGCAAGTGCATCCATTCGTTGTGTTCTCTCAAATCTTAATCTTCTGGATTCGTCAATACCTCTACCTTTGTCGTTCTAACCTTATCTCACTCACTGAATTATACTTCTTGAATAATATCTTCAAACTCTAGTCTTCTTCATTACCAATAATACCTCTACTATCTTTATCATTATGGGATTTGATTTGACATTTGCGTCTCTGTGCTAATATAGTGGTATGGCAACATGAACTGATGTACACTTACGTACGACGTTCTACGTTGCAACTGACTGACTTTATATGCAATGGATTGGTAGATGTTAAGTTGAGGTAAATAAATTCTCTCAAATACAGGTTGGCATGTTTTCTGATGTGAACCAGATGAAACAGTGTCTTTTTAGATGCATGTTTAGTTTTGATCAGTCGACACAGTGATTAGACAAACATTTCTGCACCACTCAACACACAAATAAACCAACTTCAGACTTACTCTCTCTGATCGTATTAGGTATACCGGATACATCTAAATTAGTTAAGAAGTACAATGTGATATCTCATAGAAAGTACTACACTGTGAAAATAAACGTTTCATAGAAATCATTTTTTATGTTCAATATAGTTAAATAGTCAATGAATGCTTGTTTAACAATACAATTTGTCACAGTACACAACTCACCATTACATAGAACTCCAACCACTACAACAATGAAAAGCAATAAGGAGAAGCTTGTCATTTTCATGGCGAAGAGATAATTTAAATGAAAATAAACTTGTACTTATATAGTATTTGTTGTAGGATGTAGGATGTTGTGAAATGGAGGAGGACAGGTGAATTGAAGACAGGCTGAACCAACAACTGATTAGGTAAGATGATGATTGTGTATATATGTCTGTCTGTTGACAGTACTGATTGATGATGATGTAAAAACACACCAACTTTATTTCATACTGCGCTACACTACACTTTGACACTCTCACATACAAATATGTAACATTGAACCAATCCAAAGCAGTGCTTCCTGTTCTAAATAATCATTTCAGTTTTGTAGAAGGAGAAAAGAGCTTATGAAATCATCCTCTGTATATCCTTTTGAAGTGAGGAATAAATCCAAATCATAACTGGAAAGAGATATTCAACACTTATCATCATAGTAGTCTATTCATAACTTATCTTGTACCAGTAAGTTCTGTATAAGTGAACTAGAATTGTGATTAGTAGGAATCAGAAAATACATGATATTATTTGACAGAATAAAATGTGATAGCATGTTTGAAACTCAATTCCAATGTTCAACCGATTTCATTCAATTCCGGTTTACTTTTCCACATCGGATGGACTATACAATCAATGTACTGCAACAGTAAGTGGTTACCATGGACATGATTTATCGCTGAGGTGATCACTGTTGCGGAATGACATTGGTGTTATTGATACTGTGCGTAGACTTTTTATTGCCATACTTATTTACTTACTTACTTACGCCTGTTGCCCTCAAATGGAACATAGGCCGCCCACCAGTTTTCTCCAACCAACTCTGTCCTAGGCTTCCCTTTCTAGTTCTGTCCAATGTTTGTTCATTCCTCTCATATCTTTCTCTATTTCTCGGGGTAATGTGTTCTTTGGCCTTCCTCTTTTCCTTTTGCCCTGAGGGTTCCAGGTGAGGGCTTGTCTTGTGACGCAGGTAGGTTCTTTTCTTAGTGTGTGTGTGCCATACACCTATTTAAAATGAACAAACAAAATCTCTCTAAAATCATTTGTACATTGTAGTGATTTCACTTTTACGAAGAAAAACACGACTGGTTTAATAGCAACATTCATTATTATAAGTAACTGTACCAGTTTATTTGTACTTTTGTTCTATGCAATGACCTTTGTACTCTGTACACATACTGACTTTAGGATCACGCTCTTCTTCACTTTCTGGTTGCCATCTTCTTTTTGCTGCTCTGTACCTTCTTATATTCTCTGGCATGTTTCGATATTTCTTCGATGCCACGAAATCGCCAGTGAATACACTTGTTTCGTCTGCTCGATGCTGCTTACATCTTTACGATAAAAGATTTGGGATAACGCTTGAGACCCGAATTTAATTGGTTTATTGGCGTGTTCATGGTCCATAGACTCGAACATCTACTACAAATATATATACAGCGGAGGGGAAACTTGGAGAACTACCAAAGCCATTATCTAGAAGATACAAGTATTTATGAACAGTTGTCTACGCAAAATACTTCGGATTCGTTGTCCAGACACTGTGGAAGAGAACAAACCAGATTCCATTGGAGAAGGAAAGCAGGAAGAAGCGGTGGACGTGGATAGGACATACACCACGAAAAGCACCCTACTGCGTCACAAGACAAGCCCACACATGGGACCCTCAAGGCGAAAGGAAAAGAGAAAGGCCAAAGAACGCATTCCTCCGAGAAATAGAGAAATATATGGGAAGAATGAACACAAACTGGAAAGAACTAGAAAGGGAAGCCTAGGACAGAGTTGGTTGCAGAAAACCGGCGGGCGCCCTATGATCCATTGGGGGTATCAGACGTAAGTAAGTAAGTAAGTAAGTAAGTAAGTAAGTAAGTAAGTAAGTAAGTAAGTAAGTAAGTAAGTAAGTAAGTAAGTAAGTAAGTAAATTCGTTAGTAAGTAAGTAAGTAAGTAAGTAAGTGCATAAGTGCATAAGTAAGTAAGTAAGTAAACAAGTAAGTAAGTAAGTAAGTAAGTAAGTGCATAAGTAAGTGCATAAGTAAGTAAGTAAGTAAGCAAGTTAGTAAGTAAGTAAGTGCATAAGTAAGTGCATAAGTAAGTAAGTAAGTAAGTAAGTAAATAAGTAATTAAGTGCATAAGTAAGTAAGTGCATAGGTAAGTAAGTAAGTAAGTAAGAGCTATATTCACCTCTTCAAAGAGTGAAGTTAACAAATATTTGTGAATAGTAGAAGTAGGTAAATTTCATGTTCAGAGCACACTTGAAATTCCGAAACTTGTATTCTGTGAAATGAGATAATTTATTTATTTAAATAGAAAAGATGAAACGAGAGAGAAGTATTCGTTTGAATTTGATTCAGAAAATATTCACCAAGTGAACAGGTGTAGAAAGCTACAACAATCCGACAGAAACGGAAATTCGAATACGAATTCGGAAACACTAATTTTAATGATTTTGATGACTTTCTGAATGTTACGTGATGTGGTTCACAAGGGCATCGTTCTCACTCGATCGAAACTATCTCAATTCGTACAAATTGGACGAGATGACAAGCCCGAAAATCATTCACTGATTAGGTGGTTCGGTTTTTTGTACGATTAACTAAAATGATAACTGACACAATTTTCCATCTGATATTGATCTGAAACATTTCGACTGAAGTTTATGCTTGAGTAAATTCAGTAGTGGTTGTATTAGTAGTAATAACAATTGTTGTCATAAATGTTAACTTCCGAATACAAACATTAAACATAAGAGCTAAATTCTTAAGCTAAGTTAAACACCTTTGATACCGTAATTTCAACAAGATTGCTGTTATGGGATGCCAGCACTGCGTGGTATGCTCCAGTCCGCGCAAGAATCGAAAACAGTTTCTTCGATAATTTCTACCTAAATTTAGGTTTTTACTGTTTTTAATTAAAACTAGAAGGGACGTATAAAACTGTACGATCAGTGAAATAAAAAAGCATATTATATTTATGGTCCAGTAACTTGAATTTATGTTAAATAGCGCTGAATCATTTATACTGTAGTGAAGGAGAACACAGGTGAGGGCGACGGAAGTGTATTTATATCAAATTACAGAGTTAAATGGTAAAACAGGAAAACCATATTGTAAATCGACAATTTGCGAAATATCAATCCATCATGTCGAACTGGACTGTCTGTTCCTGTTGCAATACATCAATCCATTGTCTGACATTTCACTATTCATGTGTTTCATGCAAATGCCATTGTGTTCCCACTCTTCCTTTCTTGATCTTCCCCCATCTTCTGCTGCCAGACATTACGTTTTTACTCGTGTCAAATACTACTTATAAGTAGCGCGCACCACAAATTATGTTTAGACTACTAATCTTCAAGACAACAGCAGTGATAGTGTAACACGTGTAACTAGCAGTCGCTGAAGGGCGGATAGGATCTGAAATCACAACACACAAGGTTAGTTTAACACCTCACACCAAGAGAGAACACAAAGTGGTAGCCACGGCTCTCTTTTATTTGAAAATTAAAATACGCGGGGTGGACAGTTTACCAACGTCTTATGAGTCATCCTGTAATTTCAGAGCACTCAGGGCTTGTTCTTCAGCTTCCTAAACGTTTATGTTTGATCGCCTTGAAATAGAAAGAAAACAGAACGGGTTAGCAACATCATACATGGTGATTTTGACTCCGTTACAATAGAAGATCCAATTAAAACGCACGAGGTATGTATAGAAAGGAAATATGATCAACTCTACCTTTGATTGTAACCGACCTCAAGGTCAATAAAATGTAACAATAATCTCACAAATAGAATAGTTCAATTTCATGTACTGTATATTCACGAACGATCAACTTGCCTTAAATCTGATCACTATTGGAGTTAGTAATTTGGCTATTACAGAGAATTGTAGAACAACTAGAAGGGATCATCTGCTGAAAGGTAAATTCTTTGTTTATGAGTCAGTGTTTTAATGTAATGAGGAGTTTTACAAATAAATACTCAGGAATCATATATTATCATTCAAAGATAAGCTTTCTATAGGAAAATGCACCTCTGGTTTGAATGACAATGCTGTTCATGGTTGGATTCGAATCAGTGTCCAATACATATACATACCACAATCAACATCGACTGTGCGATAAATTTACAGTTTTCTCTACGTTACCTGTAGATTATCGGGTAAGAATTTCACAACAAGATGGGGTTTGTAATCGTTTGAAATAACTTCTAAGATGGTCTCAACATTCACAGAGAAAAGCAAGATTCTCCGATACAGCATAACATGCACCAACCATATCACATTTGAGGCTGAAGCTTTGGACGATGTTCAAAGCTTTATATATCTGAGCAGCATAATTGATGCTCCAACTAAATCATTCTTGATGGAGATGTTTTGGAGGACATATAATCCTTTGCATATCTGAGCAGCATCATTGACGAGCAAAGTGAATCTGATGCTGATGTGAAGGCGCGGATCGGCAGGGTAAGGGCAGTATTTCCACAATTGGAGAACGTCTTCAACTCAAAACAATTATCAACCGACACCATAGTCAGAATTTCCAATACATATGTTAAGACAGTTCTACTTTGTGAGGTGGAAACTTAGACAACTACTAAAGCAATTATCCATACGATAGAGGTATTTATCAACCTTTATCTACACAAGACACAAGGAATCCATTGTTCAGACACTAAGAGTAACAACCTACTCTGGGAGACAATGAAACAAGATTCCAATTGAATAAGATATCCGAAAACAGCGCTGGAAATGGATAGGATATGTATTGAAGAAATCATCCATCTGTATCACAAAACAAGACCTAACTTAGAACCTTGAGGGTGAAAGGAAAAGAGGGAGGTGGAAAACACATTACGCCGGAAAATGGAGAGAGACATGAGAAGAATGAATAAAAAATGGCTTGAACTAGAAAGGACAACCCAGGACGGACTAGGTTGAAGAATGCTGGTGGGGCGGCCTATGCTCCATTGGGGGTTATAAGCGTAAGTAAAAAAGCAAGTAAGTGGATAAGTTAGTACGTAAGT